ACTCCTAGAGTTCACTTTATGGATGGCATATATTTTGCTGTCAACCAACTTTGTTCCCAAATGAGATGAGTGCACTGTTCATGCAGAAGTCAGTCAATGTTTTGATCCTCCTCAAAAACCGTTTCTGGACAAAATAATTAGCAAAGAGAACTGTACAAATCAAAAAGGGCAGGTATTATCCTTTCAAAGCTGCCTTTTAAGAATAGACAAAAGCCCCATCACAACAACTGTGCATTTTAAATACAGAGGAAGACCCCCCCCCGAACTCTGAGTGTTGTGAATTAACGTATGGATGAACGGCTTAGCTGAAAACAGCAGAGAGCCTTGTATTACTTTAGACACTAACAAGGCTCTTAATTGTTTTTGCCACTGTAGAGTAACACCACTAGCCCTCTGCAGGTTGTTCTAATTTGCCCCAGTTATGCTTATGTCGGGCATAGAGGTTGTTAGATTCAGCAGTAGTGTGAGAAGAGGAAAACACACTGCCCTGATGCATTGGGCTTTTTTAAAAATGCTACAATTATACATGTCCCACTTTCAATGCAATCATCCAAGGCCTCCTAGGGGAAACTCAGCTGAACAGTATCATTTTGGAGATTTCATGTCTAGCATACTTATGTGCAAATGTTATGTGCTTGCTTTGCAGATTGATAAGTATGCTCAGCGAGATCTGAAGAAAGGGCTTCATTTGTATGGAACGGATGGAAATATTGGCCTAACTAATGCATGGAGCATCATACAAACAGATGTAAGTTTTACAGTTCCGTTGTTCTTCTTTCATCAATCAAAACACACACATCTGTCTTGCCTTGAATTTCCAGCACAGTGAGAGGGATTTCTATTTGGTTTCTACATGCTTTCTTTTGTTCTTTTTCCACCCCAATCGGGACTTCTCAAAAAGAAGTGGCCCACTGGTTAAGAGTCCTTTTTCCTGTTGCAAAATCTACTTAGAGCTTCTGATGTACTTTGCATCTTATGGACTTACTTCCAATTGCTTGGTACTTTACATCATGTATGGCGCATATTGAAAAGCGTTTGCCCTTGTTATTATTTTTTTCTTCAATATATAATCTGCAACACATTGTCATTTATTATATTATNACAATGAATCCCATGAAACAGTTACCAGGCTACTACAAGTTATATTCACCATGACTTGGATTTACTGTGAGTATTTTGGAGAATGAAATATTAGGTACAAAGGCTTTTTGACTGATCCTTATGGACAGATGCATTGGCCAAAGTCCTACCGGTTTTCACATTGTAAATTGAAAATGGCCTAAATTGCCTCTGTGTCATTACACCAGCTGCCTGTCACATACCCAAGTCATTCACTTGGTTGTGCACTTAGGCACACAGGGCCAGAAAATTATGAAAAGAACTTGCACAATTTCCTTTTTCACACACAGTGCTTCACAGTAGGACTCTGTTCACTGAGTCTATTTGCATGTGTGCCTATTCTTAGCAGCATGACCAATGAAAATGCATACGAATAGAACAAAACCCACCCATCTGAGATCCCGAGTTCCCTCACAGGGAGAAAGGTACAGTAGCCTAGAAAGGAAGCAAATAAATTATAAACTCATAGTCACAATTATGTTACAGTTTGGAGGCAATAATCAGATACTATTATTTTAGTGATCCAGATATTACCTATCTTTGTTTTAGGAAACTATACAAAATCAGTCATTTGGTATGTTGTGCATTTTCATACAACTTAAACGTATGAATTCCTTATCTGTCTCTTCAGTATTTAAGGCATTTAAGATTTCACTTATCTATTTCTTCTTTCTTTACGTTTCTCTCTGCTGTTAGTCTTATTCCTCCTCACAGATTAAGCATGTCTGTAAGAAAAATTGTGTGACGTCAAGTCAATTCTGATGTACAGCAACTCTTTCCAGAGTTTTCTAGGTATAGAATAATCAGAAATGGTTTACCATTCCCTTCTTCTGGGGAGTGCTCTGTGACTGGACGGCTTGCTCAAGGCTACACAGGCTGGCTCATCTCAGCCTGAACTCCACAGCCAGAAACCTAACTCACTGAGCTATCCAGCCAGCTTCCTTCATGCAAACATACAAGCATGTCTACATAGAGATAAAACAGTTATGGTAGTGCACCTGAAGTCCAAAACTGTGGAGCTCAAAGTTCCCAGATCAGAACTTTCATACAGTAGTTCCCAGATCAGAACTTTTTCTTAAAGGAAATCTTGAAAAAGTCACTTTTTAAGATTGTAATTCCCATAAATATTCTGTGAATTGTAGCCGAAACAGTAGCATCTCCAAGCTCTCTTTGCAGGGGTATAAGGACATACCACCTGTTTTGCACCAAAGGCTGATTACAAATAACGAGCTATTTGTAATTAATTCCTGTTTTTGAAAATGACCTACAATGCAGTTGCAATTTGCCTTCATTTTTGATAACAATAAAAACAACATTCCCTGGCAACAGGCACTGATTTTTTTAGGCTGTCTGAGCTATTCTGTGCCCTCCCTTGATGTTTGTAATTGGTCCAGATTTACTTCAATTAGTTCCTGTGTTTAAATATTCCGTTTGTGCTCAACAAAAGAGGAGAGGTTTGTCATAATCCCAGTGGCTTGCTCGTTCTCCAGCTTGAGTAGATAAACTGTCTGCCAAAATTCCTCTTGTACATTTCAGTGAATGTGCTTTCCCAGTCCTAAATTTCTTTGACGTATTGTTTCACACACACAGGGGCTGCCATTAATTTTATGAATAATGAACGAAGAAGAAATTGGGAGGTACTGAAGAGTTTGTGTATTCAGTCAGTTTAAAGAAAGAGTGCAAAGATCAGCAACCCGTTCAGATCACGGAGAAAGTAGAATACAGATCCCCTTAGGCTGCATTACAGTCATAATAAGATTAATTTGCAGGAGCAAGAACCTCTCCTCCCCACCCCCCTTACAAAAATTAAGAACCAGATTTTGAAATATTGTTGATTCTGTCTGATGTCCCTCTGTTGGTACTGCAGGCTTTCCATGTGGATCTCAATGGAAAACATCTATTGCTCTAGGTAGTAACAAATCGACAACTAGTGCTTCCTTTCTTTTCAGAGATTTTTATTGAGGCAAGAGCATCCAGCACCAAATTCCTAAATAACTAAGGGCTAACATCTTGTTGGAGACTGCAGAAGTTTTAATGCCCTGATAGTATAAGATTCCATGTTGTCATCATCATCTTGTTATGCAAGCTAGAGACTGACCTATTGAAATAAATGGTGCTTCACACACAAGCTCAGCAAAGCTCCCAACTGTTAGTCCAACAGATGAAGAATATACAGCCTAGGGATTAAACATGATCAGATTAATAATTCCTCCCACTACCACCCCAATGTTCTTCATCTTTAAAACAAGTCTTCCTGAAGTCCACCTTTGTGGCAATCAAATGCTTGAATTACAACAATTGTTCTCTTCATACATGCCACAAGTCCCTCATCCATGGACAACTGATGGGGTATATAAATTATCACACCTTGTTGTTCCATCAGGTGGCGCTGAGATACTTGCAGATAAATTAAACCCAAGGCTGGATTTTGAACTATGGCACCTTCTTCCCTCAATAGAATTGTGCTGTCTGAAATAATGATGGCTCCCATCTTTTTGCCACACATTAGCTCAAAATAAGCCAAGATACCCCAGTTAGTTTGAGGCTCAATTTGAAGATTAGAATTGAGCACTGATTCCTTTTGTACCTGTTCATACTTTCTCAATTCTGTGCTGTTCAGTGGTTTGTACTGGGAAAAAAACCAAAAAGCATAACATTTTTGTTGTTTTCCAATATGTGTTTTAGAAGAAATAATATTCTCCTTAGAATCGGATCATATTCAAAGAAACAGGTGTGAGTGGTTTTGTGCCAGGCAGATTTCAACCAAAACTGTGCCACATAAACTCGGGGCCACAGGAGGTAGTTGTGCCATGATTCAGACCAACCACATGATGTCCACATAAATCTGGAGGCTCTGCCAGACACTTGATCCTCGTCCTGACCATCTGCTGAATCACAAATGACAATAGATATGGGTTCTAAATATACGATAGAGCAGTGGTCACGGAACAGGGGTAAATTAACCCAAATGGGGTAAAAATGAAAATCCTGGGGGTAATGAGGATGAGAAGAGCCCCAGTATTGATGCTCTCATATCCAAGATGAAGCAACATCATTTCTCCTAACTCTGAAGTTTTCAAGTAAGGTGAAGCTTTCAAAGTAATTTTGAATAGATTCAATAAGATTTTGAATTCAAATAATGAACGATTTCCTTCCTTTCAAATCAAGGGGGTAATGTCGGCGTATATAAATTTTTTTTTGGGGGGGGGGTTAAAAGGTAAAAAAAATCCCTGATCCCTGCGATAGAGAAAGGCAGGTCATTTGGTTGCTTCAGAAGGGGTTGGAAGTTTTTGTTTTATTTATTAAGAGTTTGCTCCACATTAGACAAATACTCAAGTTATTTCCAAAATCACTAAACAGAGGCATAGAGCAGCTTAACTTGTTCCTCATTCCCTTTGATTTACAGGCAAAGGAACACTAGATCAATTTGACGAGGACAATTTCATTTAGCAGATTTGTATGGTCCACAGATAAATAACTAGTCACTTCAAATATTCTTGGTGTATTATGTCATGGGAGCTGAACTGGGGAGTAATGCAGCAAAGCACAGTAGATGCTGCTAATTAAATGAAGATCTTTTGGACCCTTAGCTGAGATATCTTGAGAGTAAGTAATAAACAACATTTGTTTGTCCAAGCTGTACAGTGTCCAGGATTCCATTTCACCTTTTCAGAGTACCTGCACAAAACCAAACCAACACATAAACTCTTCGAGCAAATTTTCTGCCTCTTTAACCTGAGCTATGAATCACTTGCCTTCATGACACACTCCAGTGTTCATCCATATGCTGAGCAGGTACAATGCAAGAGATACAAATCATAGTTTACTACTGTGCTACCTGGAAAAAGTTTGTTGCCTGCAATCTCAGCTCCCAGATCATGAATATCTGTATTATGGAATGTCAAAGACCATTTCAAGGCAGAGCATGTGTGACTCGGAAGCCACTCATCTTTACAAAATATAATAAAGCATGTTTCACTGCTGTAATCATTTCGTTTGCTGCTCATTTTTCCTAGTGGTACTAGTATACTCCAAAAATAATGCCACTGTTGACAGTCTAGTGTCTGATGACAAACAGCTTGCTGAGTCATGATTTCCCGCCTTTAAATCCCTGGCACAAAAATAGCAGGGAAAGAATTGTTTTCCTTATTGTTTTCCCCTTCACCAATGTCATTTTAGTTGTCTTTGCTTTTGCTACAAAATGCACAGTTCTCAGCAACTACACTTTAATAGACTTTAGTTTCTACCTGGAGAGTCACTTTCAAGCCCCCAAGACTTAAGTAGCATGGGATGGTCTTTCCTACGGCCTGAGGGAATTACTTCCTCCCCCCCAACTCTCCAAGCCCAGTGGAGGGATTGGAAGGAATTCTGATCCAGCAGGGCCCTGGCTTCTGGTATAGGAAAACATCCCTCCTTATCTGTAGTTCCTGTCCTAACTGTCCTGCCTGAGGAAGAGAAGGAGCGTATCTAGAAGCATGTTGCTCTTCCCCACATGTAATAAATATGGTGTTTGTGAGTGACTGTCTTGCTCTCATGCCACACCGTACCTAGAGAGGACAGGGCTCCCTTGCTACCCTTGGCTGGGCTGCTTTGATATCACAGCCAGTAGCTGGGCATTTGGAGCCAGGAAGTTGTGGGAGGTGTTAGAATTCTGAGACTTTTCCAGGAAAGTGGTGTAGCTCTGTTAATCTGTACCAAGAAATTTCTAAAACAACGAAGAGTCTTGTGGCATTTTAAAGGCTCACATGTGCTTTTTGCTTTTTTCCTGGCATGTGCTTTCAGGAATTGCCAGCTGTTTATATCTGATAAAGTGAACTGCAGCCCACAAAAGCTTAAGCCATTAGAAACACATGAGTCATTACAGTGCCACAAGCCTTGTCATTGTTTTGGAATTCTAAGGTTAATCAGTGCATTGTGTAAAACTGAAACTGATCAATAGTCATTAAATGAACACATTTGTTGAAGAGAAGTAAGCAAAGTCATTCATCTGTCAGATGATGGTGGAATATTCCCATAATGGAGGATTCAGGAAGTGTGCCTACTGGAATCCTCTGGGTTCCTTTGCTGTGCTAGACCCACCGAGTCTGCCCTTCTGTCAGTGTTTAGGTTGCTGCATGCTCTTACGTGTCACACTGGCTTCCTCCCTTCCAGTTCAGATGCTGTGGCGTGTCAAACTACACTGACTGGTTTGAAGTATACAATACCACACGCGTGCCAGATTCCTGCTGCTTGGAATTCAGTGAGAACTGTGGTCTCCATTCCCCAGGGACCTGGTGGAAAGCTGTGAGTAGTTCATTTTCAATCTTATGTCAAAGTCAACTGACCTAGAATTGTACAGATTCCAAAGGAGAAAAGGAAATAGTTGTACCTCTACCTAATCGTGTTGTTTCCTCTTGGGGCATGACCTAGCATCTATCAAAAAGACCATGCTGACACAGCCTGTCAAATGTGTGTGATTCCTTCACACACACACACACACACACAACCACAGGAAGAGAAGGCTTTTTGCTAACAAGGTAGAATATAAGAGGTTCACCTTTAAAGGGTGGAAGGGGCAACAAAAACACAGAAAGGGCACAAGAACATGAGCTAAGGCCAGAGTGCAGGATTAATGCAAGATTTCTGGTCCTGTCCATCATGACTTTTTTCCACCATTTCCTTGATCATCCGTAACAACAAAGGGTTCTTGAAACAGCTCTAGCTTTCTGAAAGGAAAAGAGACATAACACTTAAACTAGTGCTGAGCTGAATGTTTTCTTCAGGTTAAGTTTCTGCCTTGAATTAATGACCGGGGAAGCATTTTCCTCCCACAAAGTCCTTCAACCTGTCCCTTTCACTACTATCACAGTCCCATCCACCCATCCTTTTTTTTACAACTTTTGCTTTAAAGGCCATTTCTTCTCTCTGCATCACTCATCAAGTGGAGAAACGATCCCATACTGAATACGATAATGTCACAATTTAATGCAGGTAATAAAAGGTATCTTTCTGCTGACATCACAAAAAAGTAAATGAAGCCCATTAGGGTATAGGAAGTGTTTTCTTCAATGATCACATAATGCCAGCTAACTGGGTATATTCAGTGGATCGAACGGTTTCTCATTTTTTGGTACCAATTTCTGAAAAATCAACCAGAAAGAGTGCTGCTTCCTTCTCACTCTGGCTTAGTCTTTTTGGGGGGGATAGCGATCTGCCTCTTGTTTAAAGTGTGTGTGTGTGGGGGTGGGTGGCTTGTGAAACAGCTGAGACGATGCCTTGTCCCAAAAGGTCAGCCAGTACACACTCCCCATTCTCCAGTTCTATGCTCTTTAGAGGTTTGGATCAACATTAATTTGAAGTGGGAACAATACACCATTTGTTTTAAAGTACTTTTAAACAGCAAACTACATTGAACATGCCAGAATACGGCCTTTTTAACACTGAAACCCTATGCTTACCTGCTTAAAAGCAAGTTCCATTGATCAGGTAAAGGGGCACAGGGTTGCAGTCTTACTGTCTCACAGTCTCTGTACATCAGCATTCTACCACACTGATCAGGTAAAGGGGCACAGGGTTGCAGCCTTACTGTCTCACAGTCTCTGTACATCAGCTGCCACACAATAGCTGCAACTGGAAAACGCTCAGTATCATGGCGTCTAGCATTGCATGTGCATCATGACATAAGTCATGGTTTTATTAGTTACCATCCTATCCCTTTTACTCATATTGCCATTCTTTGGTTTTCCTCCCTACACGTGTTTCTTCTTCCAGTGTCAACTTTGGTTTCAGAAAAATCCCCCCATTTGTATAAGGTTAGATCCAGAAATGCCATTCCAGAAATGGGAAATCTTGCTTTGTTGGCAGGAAGAAAAAAAAAGGATATAGCAAAAGCACCCTGCAGAGGGAAATGAATCAGAGAACAATTTTCACCTAGTCATTCTCTTCCCACTGGAGGCCCCCCTCCCATAATTTTGCACACTGTTTGTGGAGGCTCTTCAGAACACCTTAGGTGGAGTCATAGAGACACATATGGGTGGAGAATTTGCTGTGAATTCTGGAGATTGCATAGATTCATCCAGAGTGCAGAGTGGAACAAGGAACCTCTAACTTGTGGGCCCAATTTGATATGCGGAGAGGCCAAATCCAGCCTGCTAGAGGTTGCCTGTTTGCCTCTCCCATAGGAATAACTGAGAGTTCCTGCTGTCTTCATCCAGAGTGATTGCAATGTGGAGGGGAATCTTCATGGTTATCTCCAGTATTTGATCACAGATAACAAGGACTCTCCTTCCAGGCTTGTGCTTCCTTCAGTTTCAAGTAGCCCTGTTAGGAAGCCAGGCTTTTCTCACCTTCCTCACTCAGGAAAGGGAAGAAAGCCACTTAGCCAGCACCTATAAAGCTGTTTGAGTCCCAGCCTCAGGCCTTGGCCAGCTCTCCAGGCATCTGGCTGAGGGAATGCAGCTTTGTTCCCCACCACTTTCCCATGCAAGGGAGGTGACCAGGAAACAAAGTGATGGAGCTGGCATTTGGGCAGCCTGCACCTGCCTCTGTCTCCTTGCCCTCGCCTTCCACAAAGTGACTCACCTGGTGCTTGGGAGAACCAGTCAAGTTCCACGCGTGTGACCTGAACAAGGTGGTTTGACTCTCTAGCTATCTTCGCTGCTTAGTGAGAGTGAGAGAGGAGGAAGGATGGCTCCCTGATTGCAGTGCCAGCTTCAAAGCTCCAGTCAGAGCTTTGGCCTGAGTTTATGAACCATAGAATCATAGAATGGTGACGTTGGAAGGGGCCTATAAGGCCATCAGTTCCAACCTCCTACTCGATGCAGGATGTCAGGGGTGTGTGCATCCATGCTTCCAAACTGCTTTACTGTCCAAGGATCCGGGTAGTTAGAAGCTAGTTGTCAAGGACCATTACAGAACCACTGATAGTGACATAATTGGCATGCATAGGTTTCCAAAACTAGCTCTTGGAGGCATGAGCTGTCTTACAGGAAAGAGGTTTATCTCTTTTTCTGGAAAATATTCTTGCAAGTCCAGTTGTGTCTTGTGGTAGCCAGCTAGGAACTCAGGCATTTGGCATGTTCTGAATGTGGCTCAAGGTTTGCTCTTTGGGAGGACTGGACCAAAAATTGTGCTCTACCAGGAAGGTTCATTGGGTCAAGAGGGCATCTTGTCCAAAATATGTCGCAGCCCTTTTTTTAAATCCCTGAGGATAAAGTAGAAGTCTAGTGTTATAACAATGACAGATAAATAACTACTTTTTGTCAAACACTGCCTTGACTAACAATCCTACTAGGAGACGGATCAGTGCTCAGGATTGCTATATCAGCAGCATGACCAAATGTTATTTTTCATTTCATGGACACCCCAATGACCATGCAAACCATTCTGTCAATGAAACTATTTTGGCTTGAGCAGCAACTGCCTTATACTGTATATTTTCCGTGTATAAAATGACACTTTTTTACTTAAATAATTAGACAAACAATTGAGGATTGTTTTATACATGGAAGGCAGCCGCTTTCCCTGCCTTTTGCAAAGCCACAGGGTAAAGCAGCCGTGAAAGGGCGGCACGCTGGCACCCCTTTGATCCTTAAGCAGCCATGAAAGGGCTTCAGGACCAAAGGGGTGCAATCGTGCAAATTTTCAAATTTGAGGGTTAGAAAAGGGGGGTCGTCTTATACATTGGGTGATCCTGTAGCAGCCATGAAAGGGCTTCAGGACCAAAGGGGTGCGAGTACACACATTTTCAAATTTTATAATTTGGGGGATGGAAAAGGGGGGGGTCGTCTTATAAACAGAGAAATACAGTAATTGCCTTTCTACATCCTTTTACTTGCCTATGGAAAGGGGGGGTGTCATCTTATAAACAGAAAAACACAGCAATTGCCTTTCTACATCCTTTTACTTGCCTCTGCTTTAAAAATTAGAAATCCCTGTTGCATCTGGATATGGAATGAGTTGATTCACATCAGCTAAAGTGCAGAGAGCACTTCTTATTATTCCGGTTATTGTATCTTGCCTGCAGCATCCATCCACTTGACCTTCAGATATACAGTCTTTCTGAGCCCTTAACAATCCACCTTCATTGCAAACTAGCCTTCGGGCATATTTTGCAGCTTCACTGGCATGCTGAAATCTGAGAGACCTCAGATTACCCAGTTTGATCAGACTTTACAGTTTCTATGTGTGCCTCTTGACTGTCTGTTTCTGGGTAAATAAACCCTTCTCTCTCTTTTCCTCTTTCTCTCTCTTTAAAGCCTTGTTATGAAACAGTGAAAATATGGCTCCAGGAAAATCTGTTAGCAGTGGGAATTTTTGGATTGTGTACAGCATTGGTTCAGGTATATTTTTATCTTGTTTTTCGAGCTCTTTATTATATACTAGTACAGTAAAGAATTATGTTTTCAGAATTTTTCTTTCTATCTCGTATGTTTTGCCTAATGATAGCACAATCCTAACATTGATAACTCAGAACTCAATCCCTAAACGCCTAAAATGTCAGAAGCATATACCTTCTTTTGCATATACGTCTTTGCAAAAGTTACATTAAAGTTTCTCGTCGTCGTTTAGTCGTGTCCGACTCTTCGTGACCCCATGGACCAGAGCATGCCAGTTTGTACTGTAGTATTATTAATGCTGAATACTTTCTTCTTCTTAATATGCACATATGAACCCATGCATCTGCTATTTATGTATTCATTTTTAAAACCTTGTTTTAATTGCTTACATTTAGGACCAAATAGAACCCTTTACTGCACAAGATTGAAAATCACCAAGCAACCTTTTATACATAATGTTACTTTATCATTAAAAGATGCAATTCAAACAAAATGAAAGCAAAATTCAGATCAAAAGCATAATCCATGGCCGATTACTGGCACTTGGTTCATCCTTGGTCTACAGAGGAATATTTGGCCACTAGAGCAATTAAGTAGATGTAATTTCCGGGGATTGGGCCAGATATAGATGGATATACTTTAAGACCCTGATTTTAGTGTGATTTCAACAGCCTTTGATTCCATTAACAACTAATGCATTTTACTTAACTAGTTCATGGGCAAGTTAAATGGACTGTAGCTCACTTCCAGATCCATCCGATGAAGTTGCTGGCTATAGTCCATGAAAGTTTTTCTTTTTTTGGTGCAACAGACTAATATGGCTACTGCCCTTGAAACCAGACTTCAATATGATTAGTTTTTCACTAGATTTTGTCTAAGTGTTGAAAGGTGAGTTACCAGTTCAATATAAAGCAGAAAGGTGTTGGAGAATAGCTGAAAACTCTTTAACAATGGGAGATTCTGTGCAATGGCTCAGTGTAAATGATCCATTATTTGGAAATAAGATAGTCAGCTGACTGAAATGCTTTACTTGATCAGTGCTCTGTCTCTTTTATTTTAAAAGTGTGATCGTGTCAGCAGAATTCAAGGTGTCTTGAAACAAATACTATTATTTATTGTTAAAAAGAATACCTACCTCTACAAATGTTCTCATTCCCATTACATTAACATAGCCAAACCAAATTAGCATCTGTTCCTAAGTTATAGCTGAGCAATTAAAATCAGCTATTTCCAATTACAGCTGATCCTACAGGAATTAAAAGATCCTAGGGGACATTCTCCTGCATAAACTGTGCAGCTCTTGTTCATTTCAGGGGAGGGGGCTTGTGCAGAAAAAAATATCTTAGTCGACTGGAAATATGTATCCAGTAGCCTAGTTTATCAATGATGTTTCTATAATACAAGAGTTATCTATGGTGCCAGAGCAAAGAATTATCTATTGCGTGCAACTTTTCAGTAAAACTGTGAATAAAAATATAAGACTGGTTTCTACCTCTTTCTTGCTGGTTGCAAAGAAATTCATCACTGCTTCCATTCTATAGCTTTTAGGTTTTTCATGTTGGAAGATTTTATTCATGAGCAGAACACATGATGCAGAACTATATTTCATTTGAAGTCATATATCTGGTGGCCTGTAACTCTTATTTCCCAATAATGATGCTGTGTTCCCTGTGTTGAATTCATTATCTGTCCTGAGTCAATAGTATAAAAATGCAATGTGTAAAAAGAATTTAAGTTTATGCTGTTTAAACTTGATTGTGCTTTTTTGTGTCTACAGATTCTTGGACTGACGTTTGCAATGACCATGTACTGTCAGGTTGTCAAGGCAGATACCTACTGTGCATAAAAATCACACTGAATGTCCATCTGCATTGGCTTGCCCTCTCTACAACATGGAAGAGGACTCTTCTTCATGCTCAATCGTAATTTTTTTCTATGTAAAATAAACTGTGTAATTCTCTTTGGAAATTTTGTGAATCACCCTATTTCATCACCACCATCCGAAAGGAACTGTCAAGGAACTCAGACTTGCTTAGACAGAAGAAAATATTATTTCTAAATAACAAGAAAGAAAGAAAGAAAGAAAGAAAGAAAGAAAGAAAGAAAGAAAGAAAGAAAGAAAGAAAGAAAGGTCCCTTTTTGCACAGATTGTGGTACCTGTGAAGAGGCTGATTTGAAATACATCTATATATCTATAGATAGCCATGTATCTATATAGATATATAAATATGTTTCATTTATTTCTCTTTACTTCTGGTGAATAGAGGTTTCCAAGCATCATGCATCCACCAAGTTCCTGAAAATACAGAGGGCAAATAATTTGTCAAGACCAGTGAAGAGAATGCATCCTTTTACTACAGCTTGTCTTTATAGACCAGCTAATGAAACAGTTCGGTTCTGAACTCTCAAGATTTTACCATAGGATATATTTGGGGAAAGGTTGTGGTCTCTCTAAAGAAGTGGTGTCCATGTCCTGCTTTCTGAAATCAGGTTTATAATGAAAAGAGGGACCTAACCTGGACCTGCATTTATATCTGTCAGCAGAAACTGGGTTCTGTCTTACACATTACACTAATAATAATATGCAAATATAGATGTGGGAAAATCGACAGAAAGTATATAGATATATACTGAGCATTCTAAATTAAAGTGAAGTAGTCTAGCAGATGCCTAAAGAAGCAGGAAAACTCACCACTTAAGTTTCCTGGGACCACATATTCAGAAGGAAATAATAAAATATCACATTGGGCACAGAAATATAGTCAATTAGCGAACAGGCAATTATTTCTGATTGATCTCTTATTTGGTAAACAATAAGCTGTAGTTATCTTTCTATAACATATTTTCAATATTTTTTTCACCTCACCTTTGCCCTATTCATTTTTAGAATAGAAGCAATCAGCTACCTGCACTGATGTACCTTTTCATTCATCTAGTCTGTGATAATTTCATCTTTGTATGGGTGCACTTCTGAGGTCTAGGAAAATATCCAGATACAGACCTGTTTAATGCTTTTGTTTGTAACTGCTGTTTAAATGATCCTAGCTGGCTAGCTCAGCCAGAGGTTGACAGTTGATTCCCCACTGTGCCTTCTGGGAGAAGAGCCAGCCTATGTGACCTTGGGCAAGCTGCACAGTCCTAGGGCACCCCTAAGAAGAAGGGAACAGGAAGCCACCTCAGTGTGCCCTGCAACTAGAAAACCCGGGAAAGGGTCATCATAAGTTGGAATTAACTTGATGGTGTTTAATGATTACTATTATTATAGGAAGAGCAAGAAAATGTGCATAATTTCCCTACCAACACACACACAGAGAGATGATATATAGGCACTCGTTTTTCAGTTTCAGTTGCCTGTATTAATTTAAACTGAAGAAAATGTAAGCCTTTAAAGCTTTAGTACATCCACATACTTTTCTGTTTATTAAAGACACAGGCTACCAGAGATGCCAAAGTAGGCAACAATACTTTGTGGAAATTCTACTTGCCCTTACTTGCCCTTTCCATGCTATAGAAAAGCTGTTGGATCAGCTTTATGCTAATAAACTGCATTATGTGGTATATTGATGAGCAAAAATAACACTATGACAGAATGTCTGTTAACCTGTGCACTGGTAAGAATTAATGAATAGATGAATGTGGGATGCTGATTAGATTACGATCAGAATAGGACAGACATGTGCAAGTTCCAAGAGGAACAATGTGCTATTAAATCTATGGCCGTGACCTAAGCCCAATTGTTAGTTAATGCTATGCGCTTGTCACACACAACATCCAAGTAAACCAAGAGGCTGGCTGCAAAGCCAACATGATTGCCCAGATCAAACTAGTGGGCATATCCATGGAATTCCCTGCCTGGTTAATTCTGCCCTCAGCAGCTGATGGGCTTGAATCCAGACCTTCTCGGTATCTCTGTCCTTTAATAAAGTTCATAATGCTATTCTGTCCCAAATGGAGAACCTGAAGTCTACAGGTTATGCAAATTAACTTCTGCTATGCCATCTGTAAACACTGACTATTGGTGGGGAGCCTTTCAGGTTCAAGTAGTATAGTAGGGTTTTGTTGTTGTTTATTTGTTTGTATTTGGTTTTTTTTTTTTTTGACCTTCATTGACTTCATGGCTACAAAGTCTTTCATGGCTAAATGAGTTTTCAACATTCACAACATTCTGAGGAGTTTTCAGGACCAAGACTGGGTCTTTGCCACCACAGAAAACCATTTGACCAGCTCAGATATTTCTATCAGCAAAAGTTACTTTTCTATTGTTAGAAGATTCTACCAGCATCCTGCTTCCATCAGGCAGCTGCACATAAGGTGCACACAGAAAAGCAGATGGGAAAGACTATTCAGCTGTGGATCCATCTCCCCACAACATGGATTCTAACATCAAGTACATATTCATTGTAATACAACAACAATAAGATGGAATATATAGTACATATACTATTGTAAGGGCCTGTCTTTTTAACTGTCATGGGTTTCCCCAGAGATCTCTATAGTTGTTGCATCAGCTAAAGAGACATGTTTCATAAATCCCTAGTATGCCTTCACCCCCCCCCAAAAAAAAACTATGGGATGAAGAGATATTAGATAATTAGCAATTGTCATTAGATAATTACTAATATCTTTTAAATGTGCGATAACCTTACTGTAAATCTTGGAACATTTGCAACTCATTCTGAGCCGCAAACCCTGATGATATACAAATGGCTGCAAAACAAATTTGCCTCTACGTTTCCTCTCCCAGTTCTATGTTAAAACTAACTTTCTTAGCTTCTTTTGTGCACAAGTGTTACTGCTGGCCCTGCAGCTGGGCAGTAAAATCAATGAATCCTTAACTGTAGGTGCCCGTGGCTCAAAACCCTATTCATTCAAGCTAAAACATATCAGCTAACATATTGAAACATGTGTAAAGAGCCACAGGCCTAATGAGAAACAGCCATAATGATGAGACAATACAAGAATGCCTGAGGGGAAGAATGAGGAACTGAATTTATCCCAATTCCCTACCAAGGACCCTATGTTTTTTCACTGGACATTGTCCTTACTGCTTACCTATGCCAGCTTTGAATAATTCTGCCTTTCAAAGCAACAGCTGACACATTCTATTTCTTCTGTGGTGTAGATGCTTCCCTTCTCCTGCTTCTCTTAACATACAAAAAGCCGGCAACCTTGGGAGTTCCGTGGCTGTTAGTTGTCATGCTTCATTACCGCTGTTGGCCTCACGAGCATTCCTGTTGACAGCTTGTGGATTCCCATCTCCGTAGAGCAGAATAATGGAGTGATGAACACATTAATAAAACATTGTTTCTAAAAAAAAAAGTTTAAAAACAGATTAAATCTATTTGTGGAGATCTCCACCATTAAAAATTAACAACAGCAGCCCTTGTGGCTCAGAAGATAAGAGTGCCGAAGTTGTGTTACAGAAGAGAATCGAGGGCCCCACAAGAGTTCTCAGTTAATCATTTTACAGTATTGTCACCAAAGGGAAAGCAGCTAGCAGTACCAAACATCTTGCATTTTAATGCTCCCGTCTTCTGAATTCTGCAGCACCACTAAAGTGGATGCCACCATGCTAGTCAACCATTGCTTGGAGATTTTAATGAACAGCCCTGCAGTTCTTCCTATGACTCAATAACATTCATTACTTAGAGACAGGACTGCCATTTATTTTCTTCACCAACATCAGCAAGAAGACTGGTGGGCAGCTTCAGGCTTGTCGGGTCTACCTTGTGGTTTTATTTTGTTTCTTATTTTACCAGCTCAAACGCCGATCAACCAACCAGCCAAGTAAAAAAGGCATGCATTTAGAATCTTTTCACATAACAGTCCTTTTCATGTTAGCCAAAAGATTTTTCTCTTTCAGCAGCCTAATTTCACAAAAGAAGCCATTTTGTTTTTCAGTTGACAACTGGGAGTTTGAAACTCCTGAGCATCAATCACTCAAGAGACTTCCCAGCAGATTCCAACCTACCTTTTGCCCATCCCTCATACGGGCAAAATAATCCACTACTCAGAAAGCAGTGCTACTCATAAAGTGCACTGTCTTTTTACTATATAGGCAGCCTGATATTAGCCAGACTAGATTCAGATGCTCCTTTGACGGCTCAAGAAGCTTGGCTGTACTGCTAGGCCCTACTGGATGGATACAGGATGGATACTTGTAGTGCTACCTTATACAGTGGGGTCTCTACTTAAGAACTTAATCCGTATTGGAAGGTGGTTCTCAAGTTGAAAAGTTCTTATGTTGAATCTGCATTTCCCATAGGAATGCATTGAAAACCATTTAATCCGTATCTGCTCTTTTCCGTCCATAGAAACTACGTAATGTGCAAATTTGAAATAATTAAACAACTTCTGAGATGCTGGTGAAGGGAGAAATTATTGGGCAGGCCACTAAAGAAAACAGAATGGACAGCAAGAGGTGGTCCATGTCAGTGAAATTATTTGCTCAAGAGAATAAAACACTGCCAACCTTGGTGCTAAAGCAAATACTGGCTGCCTGTGACACAGAAACTAACTGAGCTATTAAAAAAGAGCTCAGACAACCCCAGTCACAAAGCTAGGTACCAGTAGCTTGACATGTACTGCAAAAGACTCTCCATATATTCATATACGCCATTAGCCAGTCTACATGGGACCTTGACAGTATTATTATTATTATTATTATTGTAGATGGAGTGTATTCAGTTCATGCATACACACCTCTCTTGCTGATGAGTCCACAATAAGCAGCACCGAGTTTCTAATAACTTCTTTTACACGTGACCCACTCTTCTAGTTTGTTGGCTACTCAGTGTGTGTGCATTCAAAACAGCATGGAAGAAGCCAGTGCCATTGTTTTTCTATGTTCTAAGCACAGGGCTTTTAAATGTACAAAATGACCAAAGCCATTTAGGGGACAAGAGTTAAGTCTGCCCCTAAATATATAGGTTTGGATCCTTGGTGCTTCATTTTTGGTACGTGGCCCAGGGGCCTATTGTAATCCTATTGAAATCAATGCAAATTAGGATGTGGAGTTTACATTTCTGTCTATCACTTGTTGCGATTGTGTTGTCTTGTGTCTACTATGAATATACTTAATAACAATGTGTATTATAATATACTGTAAAATAACTACTGATAGCTACCCAGATTTGTTATCTATGGTGTGGGGAGGAGAGGAGAAGGAATATTCAGCTCCCTACACCACAGAATTAACAACAAATTTCTGATCTATGAGTACTTTCTATAACGCTTGTTTTCTTTCCATTGTATCGCCACAATAATTGCACATAACTGCAACAAAAGTGAATTTGCCACAGATGGTATGGAACAATGTGCACCTTATAAATAGGAGCATAAAGGCTTCTTTAGAACATTGTGCAATAGTGAGTCGAAGGTTCTCAGGCCAAGACCTAGGGGTTAGGGCTATCTATATGTAATGGAAGAAGGATGGGCATCCCAGAAAGATAGTGCTGTGTGGTTCAGGTCATAGCTGCGATATAACTGTGACACAAAGAGAAAGACAGCAGTAGAACTGGGTGTTATGTTGAGATCCAAGCTTTTTAAATAAATAGCTTGTAGGTTGATATTATGCACGTTGGTTCAGAAGTAAGTCCCACTGAATTCAGTGGAACTTATTCCAAAAACAAACAAACTGTGCAGAGGATTATGGCCTTTGGAGTTTAAGGTCCATATTGCATATTATGTGAGGCAAAAGGACTGCTTTAGATGCAACATGTGGTCACGTGCATTGTCCACCATTCACAATGATGATGGTTTTCTTTAAAAAGCAACAGCAGACAAACCTTGGTGGGAGAGGAAACAGAGCATCTGTCCCTTTCCTTCTTGTGTGGCTGCTTTGTTTCTCCTAAAATCAAGAAGTTTCCCAACTGCTTTTTATCTCACAAGGAAACTCTACTTTCTATTTATAACAGGAAACGGGACCTTAGGGGTATAAAGTTTAGCAGAAAACACACACACCTGAACAGAGAGACATAAGCCCTTGTCCATTGTGAGTTCCTCCATCCAAACTCAACAATCTACCATGGCCATTTTGCATAACAAACAAACAACCATCTGAAGCATGGATCTCCGCTTCACATACAGTTTGGGTCTGCAGCAGCCTTGTCTCCTGGATGACGGCGTACTGCACCCAAAGAGGTTTACTGGGCAAGTCCCATCCAACATCTGTTTGCAAACAAGCTTCTCACATTTATCTGCACATGACATTTTAACATGTGTGCTTAACACACTGCCTCAACATATTATGTGAGAAGATAATATGGACCTCAAAACACAATGTGCGAAACAGCCCCAAAGTCCCACAGGTGATGTGAAATCTTTGAGCTCCTTGGCGCTTATATCCTACACTTTTGTAAAGGTTGCCCTCTGTTTTCCAAAACATTTAGAATTAAGTAGCTCTGTTTCATTTCAGGCTCCATTTGCATTATATACTTTTTTCAGTGTTACCTGTTCCTGTAGCTTTCCTTGGTTTCCTTGGATATTCAGCAACAAAAAGGAATGGTCTATTTTCATGCACCTCATAGGAAGAAAAAAGAAGCTATACATTATTTTTTAAAGAACTGATTAAACATTCTTTAAAATTTATTGTGGAGTGTGTTTTGAATTTTTAAATATGCATGCATAAAATAATACCATATACTGTTGTTTCTTTTTTAAAAACCAAGTTTTTCTTATGCAGAGTACAATATACAACAATTTCCCTCATTTTCTAGGTGGTTACTGCTACTTGGCGGTGGGAAAGGAGCAGTGGGGAGATAAGAAGAATAGCCAGCATCGTTCTGTGCAACACCCAGTAATTTTACAAAATATAACCACAAATTCAACGTCATGACTTTACTGCAGAAAGGAAATTGCCTGGACATTAATTTATCTAATACCCTATGAATGAAATTTGTTTACAACTCCCCTTGCCTGGACCAAGTAGTGGCTCTGGTATAATAACACAATTGCTAATTGCAACCAAATGTTAAAGGATTGCTGATTTTAATATGCTCTTATGTAAACTTTCCCATAAACTAAGTGTAATCCTGTTGTATAATTTTGTGCCATGTAACCTGGATTGGATCCTACCTCCCATTACTTGTGCTGGCTAGGTGCGATGGAAGTTGCAACCCAACAACATCTGGAGTGCTGTAAGTTGCCCATCTCTGGCTTACACAAAGCAGATGAGACATTGGTGGCTAATACGTCAAGGCCCAGTGGTCCTTCTGCCTCCACAAGGTTTACTCCTGTCAATATGGCATCATGAATCAAGCACATCAGACATTAGCAAACAGAAGTTCACACTAATGTTGTGGGGGGCACTTTGTCTTGCAGTTGTGAAGTTCTCACCTTTGAGGGTCATAAAACAACCAGTTTTTCTGCTGTTGCTACAAGCATCTAAATTCTGCTAAGTATCTGTAGATGAATTCACAAGTACAACTTCATCAACTCCCATGGAAACAGGACAAGGAGTTAGGCAAAATAGAAGTGGTGTATGTGTGTGGGGGTTTTAAAAAGTTAAATAACTTGCTCCAAAGAAACTGTGGCAAAATGTGATACTTTACAGGGAAAGATGGGAAGTTGCAAGTCAACCACGGAGTGCAAGGGAAACAAGGTCAGAACCCAAGATCCAGTGATTCCTCATACAAACAGCAGTAGCTGGTCCACAGACATCTCCCTTGACTGTGAGAATGTTAGTCCTCATCTAGCTGGGGGATTCTAGGAGTTGTAGTCTTAAAAAGGAATACTGTCAATCTTTGTTCATACCACCAGCCTAACAACAACAAAAACACCTTAGCAATCGGAATCCAAGAATGCCCTGCCAATCTGCAGTATTGATTAATTGAATGCTCCATCATCCTGTTTAAAGGAAGAGATATTGCTGCAAATAAACAGAAATAATAGATGACACTTCTGCTGTTATTGCTGATGGTGCAAAAGGATTTTTTTTCATTTTTGTTTTAGTCAGCTCTCCCACTGATGCTACCGTTTCCCCTCAATGGTTTTACAGTGCATTAAATGCAAAATTGAAATTTAAATTGAAAATACCAGCACGTCACATAAATATATGCATAGTAATCCTGTGGCGGCATAGAGGAGAATTTACATTTAATTGTTCCAAGAACTATATTGGCAGTGCTGGGTTCATTTATTCTGGAATGCATCATTTACTATCTGGTGGCAACCCCGGCAAACTTACTCTTAAAAACAGGAAGACCTGTCCAAAAATTAGATTTAAATACATTAAGAGGGAACTTGCTTTGAGCAAAAACACTTGTGTTTTCAGTGTTCCTCACACCTCTCTAGAGACATCTCAGCACAGAATTTAGCCTTTATTTTCTTAGTGTTATAGGTAGTGGGTGGTCCTATTTATTTTAAAGTGCCAGAAACAGTTTTATTTATCTTCTCTTCATTCTTTCTTCATTCACTGATTCAGTTCCCAAAACACCACTTAATACATGCGGTATTAAGGTATTGTGAGGTAAAGGAATTAGTGTTAATACATGCCTGGGATGACTGGATGTCCTCACAGGGATACTGTACCTCAGTTCCCACACTGCAAACAGGTAAAGATGCCTAGAAATTGAAGCCGCAATGAATATTCATAAAGCATTAAAAAAGACAGAGAGGAATCCCTCGAGGAGCTGCAGAGCGACAGTGCCTAAGCATATTTACAGATTATCACTGGGGGCTGTTAAAGCCTGCTGTATGTTTCCATTAATCCACAGAGCTGCTAGCCCAATTGCACATTGGCTTGCGCTCTGTGTAACAATAGAAAGCTTATTAAATATTAAGGCTTTAATCTTAAGTACCTCTGGGTGATGGAAGAGTCTTAAACATTGCAAAGGCAGACATCATTTTCTGAGCACAAAGAAGCAATCTCCGAGAGAGATGCTTAGGATCATATAACTAAGGAGTCAGTCGGTCAGTCAATCAATCAAACAAATTTAAAAATAATTTATTTGCTTAAACTTGGGTCAAAGAAGCCTACACCGGATGCATCAGCCTAGTGATTAGTGAAATTGCTAACATGTGACTGTTAATGCCAGCAGTTCACAATGCTCCTTCCTCTAGAGCAATGGTTCCCAACCTTCGATCCCCAGATGTTCTTGGACCAAGCATTGGAGAAGCCTTCACCTCTCCCCACCCCCAAAGTTCTCCATTCTTGAATTAAAGGAGGACAGTTTGATACCATTTCTAATTTTAGATAATTAAATCTCAATTATGTCATACTGCCTCTAGTGGTTATGTCAATCTGAGGCCTATGTCATAGGAATCAGGATATTTGTTTTTAATGGCAGTGACAGGAGGTTTTGGAATGGAGCCAGCCTCATGACAGGAAGAATTTCACTGATTACACTGATCACTCCTAAAAAAAGAAAAATTGCTCAGTAATTTACACTGGCTTTTTACATTCAGTGGGAGACACGGGTGTTCCCCCGCATCTAATTAGGCATATCTCGGCCTTGCCTTCCCCCTAGTAAATGTACATTTGTGAACAAAATACTATAACACTCACTCATTTTTGCAAGAAAACAGAGCAAGTTAATATGCAAGAGTGGCAACTACAAGTATTTTAATTTTGAACAAACAAATGTCATACACTCCGTCTTTAAAGATTATTAATATCTCATATCTCTGTATTCCACCACATATGTCTGAAGAAGTGGGTGAAGCTCTGTTATAAAATATAACAGTTAATTTTTAAGGCGCTACAACATTTTTGTCTTTTTGATTTTTGTTTTTTGCTTAATATTAAGAGTTGCTCTTATCCCCCATACTTTTTAGTGGGGATTGCGATTCCATGTAAATTGACATGAAAAATCCTTCCATTCTGTATATGGATCTTAATTGTGCATCGATACTCGTTCTGGGCAATTCCCACCCTCAAACCACTCCAAATTGCTTTCATAAAGCAGCCCCGTTAAAACATTCATTGACAGAATCACATGTTACCTATGTAAGCCATAGAAAAATAATTACTTTGATAACCTAGCACTGTGGAACAACCTACTACACATTAATTGAAATGAGATAACGTTTCTTTATTGGCATCTTGACTACTGAACTGTTTTACAATCTACATTCAAGAACAGCCAAATCAAATTTGCTTTGCCATCTCTCTGTACAAGGTTGGCGAGAACTTTCTTTCATAATGAAATTTCCCTTATCATTTCAGATCTTGATGTCTAACTTCATCCTGGCACGGATAAATTGAAAGCACTCTGTTCAAATTTAAGTGGGCAGCATTTATCAAGGAGATAAAGATCCAATGTTTTAACACCTTTGACAGCTGATGGGAGTAGACACAAAATAGAATTAACCCTTCATGATGCTCTTCACCTACAACCAGGAACACACATGGCAGTTGGCAAAGGGGCCAACTGTCAGATCATATGCAACCAAATCCACAGATGATTTTTTTTTTAATTGCATCCTCAGGTTCATTTTTTAAACTGCACAGCCTCAGATTCATTCACCTTATATATTTTAAGTGAATTTAACATGACTTCAAGGAGACAGAGGACAATAATGAAACCCTGGAATTTACCAGGTGCCATGCAGTTGCCATGATAAAAATCTGGCAGCAGCCACTGCACTAAAATTTCACAAGGATAGTGGAAGAGAGCTATTCTCACCATAGGATCCTATAACTTTCTGGGAAGGGGGATTACAGTACTACCAATGATTGTCCACATTGCAGTTTGCTGATGGTGCTAGTTGAGAGGCAGCAGCCCCTCAAAAGGACCTGAGGGGACCACACGTTGCCCAATCCACTACAGTTTAAATTTCCATGAATATCAAACGCCAGGTTTAAAATGAAATTGAACCTTAAATGAACTTCGATGTAGAAAGGATGACAGAGAGAATGAATGACTAAATGAATTAGTTTCTTAATACTTAGCAGGGGGACCTGACCACGTAGAAGATATACCCAGGCCACAAAAATTACCAGCTTCCAAGAGGATACAAAAAGCTGTGGCAACCAGAGAAAGCCGTTCTAAGATGACAAGCAGAGGTATCTAAAGTGTTGTTCAAGTAAAATGATGCATAGGATATCCTATAGAGAAATCCTGTTGGGTTGTATTTCTCCTGGTCTGTGAGAAAGAGCATACAACTGTGAAATGTGAAAGAACAAAAAAGTTGAACAGTAACCAAGAGAGACTATAATGTGGGCACTGAGCTGAAACACTGCCAATGACAGGGCATTTTAAAGGTTACTCGTTCATAGAGTTACCATGGGTCAGAGATGACTTGATGGCACATAGCAGCAGCAGCAAAGAGTAAAGTGGCTTTCCTTCCCAGGGAGGGACGCCAGGTGAACGCCCTACACACTTGCGGGAAACTCTTCAAGATAATTGTAGTTCAGAAGACTTCTGCAGATTAAGCTGAACAGAATTTCATGTCTGTTTTATTGCTTCTATCAGGTATGGGCAACTTGTGCCCCCTGATGTTGTTGCACTGCAGCTCCCATCACTCCAATGAGCAGAGCCAGAGGTCGAGGATCATGGGAATTGTAGTTCTTTTTTTTAACCTCGGAGGATTTTGACATCCATGCAGAAGCAT